TACTAGGGGCTCCTGGCCTTACTACTAGGAGCAAGGACGCTGCTATCATCAAGATATCCATTGAAACCCACTGAAAACCGCCTGATCGATGGCCCCTTCGGACGGATGGCGATCCGTCCTCGTTTCGGACGGATCGGATGACTGCTCTTCCATCAGTGGGTCCATGTGTGCCCGATCCGAAGAGTCCTGAAAAGCTGGACTCGCTCAGCCAAGACTTCGACATGAAAGCAGCAATATCTCTGTTGAAGAACGAACCACACTGGCCGTGCTTCAAAGATAACAATTATATACAATTATATCTTCTTTGCAAGTTACCAGGTGGCCTTGGACAATACATTTTGTAGTACAGAGCGGCTTGCGCAACCTCTTTTGCTACAAAATGGAAAGCACCATGCAAAAACACAGCGCTACAAAATGACCTATGGATTTATGGTGCACTACAAAATCAAGGGCCCCAACCATTCTATATGAAAAAACACATACTGTATGGGATTTAGAGCTATTACAAAATGTATTGCACAACCTCAAGCATGCCCCTCAGCAAGCGCCAAAAAACGCTCACTACAAAAAGTCCCGGCGGTACAGCAGCGGGCATGCTGATAGGACAACACTGTAGTATTTTCCTGGATTTAGATCTATGCCGGTACATCTAGCATGCCCCTCAGTGCGCTTTTCAAGCCAAAAGTTTGGCTGCATATTCAAGTCAATCTCTACAAAATGAAAGGCCCAACCTCTCTTCTTGATCAAGTGGCTCTGTACAAAAAAATGAATTGCCTGAGGTTCAGAGTTCTCCCAAAAAAAATGCCCGGCAACATCCCTCTACAAAATGTTCTGCCTGACGTCTGGGGGTGCATTTCACAGCATCTTACTAAAGAACGCAATGGGACACGCAAAATGTCATTTTATACAAAATGCACCGTTTTGGGGTTTTGTAGTGGCCTTGAGGCCACCCATTTGGTAGTGGAAATTGGCACGAGGATACAATTATTATTACCCTTCTATTCAGCACTTATATAAGAGGCACAAGCAGTGTATGTTGAGCGACAGAGAGTCACACGATGTCACACGTCACACACAACCTACAGGTAGGTCGTTCACGACGGGATTGTTTTTGCATGCCCCGCTCCGATGCTCACTGCGTCGACACGCATGGGATCACATGGGATCAAAGTGGATCAAAGGATTTAAAAGAAAGCAATAAGAATGAAAACGATTATCTTTTCCGAATCCCAGCTCTGAGCTTTGAACTGCATCCAGCCAGCCCGGCCTCAAGCAGCACGGGGGGGCGTAAAAGTCCGGAATCTCTTGATGCGAGCTGAAGAAGAAAACAAAAAGGAGCCGAAGAAGTGGCCAGAATGAACTGCTTAGTGCACGTATATTATGTGTCTGGCTCCTCTGAGCAGCTAAATAAAGTGATAGACATTGAAATGCGTACGACTCAGTCAGCCTCGGTCCCGGACTCTTCGAGCGAGGGCATGCTCGATCCCGCCTGGGAGGCGAAAAGCGACTCCAAAGGCTGGACTTGTGAATTCACCCGGGCTCAACATCTGGGGATGGATCAAAACTCCGGGATCTGCTGGCAACCTGAGTTCACCTACCGACGTGACGGTCGTTCGCATAGTGGAGCAGCGCTCCAGGTGTTCCCGACCTGTCCCCACATCTGTGTCAAGTCCGGCCTTTTGAACTCAGTCCTGCAAAGCTGTCTCAACTCAAAAATACCCTGGCCGCCCTGTAAAGCTCAACCATAAAAAAGCGGTTTAGTTTCTATGACATGTTACATGTTTCTACGCTTCATAATCATTGCCGATTCGCGCTTGGTGCTTGCCCTAGCTTTTGAGCTGACCCATTTGCTGATTGGTCGCAGAAACCAAGCTTCAGACCTCGCCAACCTCCTCCGTGTCCGGAGATTCCAGCCTTGGGAAGTCTCTCTGCGTATCGCTGCGCATTGCACCAGTCTTCCACAAAGGTTGTGAGGGGTAGTATGAACCTGTTAACTGCCAACGATTAACCACCGGAATATGATGTGGCAAAAGTTGTAATCATATTCCCCGAGTTGTTCCTCCAAGCTCTCTTGGTGGCAGGCTCTTCAATGGGCGCGGTCTCTGGCCCATCCCAGAAGTCCTTGGCCGCTGTTCTGTGCTTGAGAAGACGTCTCTTCGCTAAAGACACAAACACCCTGCACGATGGTGTAATGCACGGCTTTCTTAATCATGTCCTCCAGATATCCCAAACAACACAATAAAACAATCTAAACACAGAATCTACATTGCATAGCACATACAACCACCTGACATGCCAACATCATGTTCATGACCTCCCGAAGGCTGAAACACAGCAGTTTTCCAAAGCAAAGGCCTCGCCGATCGGCCCAGAAGGCGAAGGAAGAGCCGAGTCCAGCCTTGGCTCACCGTTCGGTAGATGATCTTTGTGTTCTTCAACGTACATACTGGCGATGGCCTCCAACCTACTAGTGATTGCCTCCAACCTACTAGCGATGGCCTCCAACCTACTAGCGATGCCCCAGGTGATGCGGATAAAACCTGTGCGTAGCTTTGCTGTAGATACTGTAGATGATGATTGTTTGTCAAAAAATGCCTGGACTGTGTTGGGTGATCATGTGATCAGTAGAACAGAACCGAATGGCCACGGGGGAACCTCCAAATGAGGGTTTTCTCTTCTGGACTTGCCAATTGCCTCAACAACAGGCGAGTTGGAGTTTCATGGAGTTTCATGGATGCGATGTTGGCCACCAGGTGGGGCATCCAGGGATATCTATATATTAATAGGCTATGCGTGCTCAGAAAAACGCCGAAGAGTCGAGTCGAGTCGAGGACGCCGTCGAGTACGCAGAGCGTACTCAATGTGTCTCTGATGTCTGACCGGTTTGGTCACGCGGAGCCTGCGTCAAACTCCACACAGAGCCCAATGGTGTTACAGGTCCCGTCTTGTGTTCTTCATGTATGAAAACACAGGTCCCGTCTTTCCCAGTTTTCGGTTTCTCACGTGAGAAATTCCCCACCTGTGTTTCAGGAGCTTTTGCTTGCCCCTTTGGTGTTTCAACGAAGGTGAGAAAGTAGCTTTAGGGCAGGACGGCATGTCGGACAAGGTCCCGTTCACTGGGGACCAGCACCCCGTGTGAACGGGTGGTGTAACATGGGTCACATCAATGCCCCGTGCATCCTCTTCAGTCCCTCATCCTTTCTACCATGGATTTCGGAGGACTCTCCCATGCGACGAGGTCCGTTTGAACCAAACAGCAAGCACACGAGGTCAGTCGGGCAAAGCGTGAGGTCCAAGAGACGCCAGCGCTGCCAAGAAAGGAAGAAAACGCATGGGAGCCATTACAGAGCACTGGAATGCGCTGGATTGATTTTTTGGTGAAACGCCTGCTGCTGCTGCGGCTGCTGCTGACCTGCGGTCATTGGATCATTAATCTACAGCTATCCTGAAGCTGCCAAAAGACTACTCGCTGGTGGGCATTTGGATTTTGGGTCCATCACTATAGATGGTTGAAACAAATTGCCTGGAAGCATAGTCAACAGTACTGAACTCCAAAGGTGGTGCTTGGCATGCACTGCACTGGCCCGGGCATGGCCATCTCTGCGATCCAAACAGCTTGAACGGAGATCGATTGCAAAGGAAGCCTGAAATTCTTAGACCCAAAAGCTCCATACATATAAAACAATCCAAACAAGGACATCAAAATCCACCGAAGGGGTGGGCAAACTGACACAAAGGAACATGAATCAACTAAGCAGTCATCTGGAATCGGATGTTTTGGACATCAATGTCACAGTCCTCTTCCTTGATTCCTGAAACGCCCAATTCAAGGACTGCTGTAAGCATTGTAAGCGCTGTAAGCTACTCATCCCCTTCAGTTTCTACTCGTCTAAAGTTCCCTTCAGTTCATCCTGTCCCCACATCACCATGATATGTTTTGCAGGGAATGATGGGGTCATCTCCTTGAAACAAAAAACATCAAAAAACAACAGGCCCAGCGAGGTCAGACCCCATGTCTTTTTGACCCCTGGGTTTAAAACCCATCTCTCAATGCCCAACCGACCCCACAATGCCCAACCTCCAACATGCGGCAGGCATGCTCGGAGGTTGCATGATTCTGCAAGAATTGCACCTGCACGCTGCGCGTGGCGCGACGGTGACGGTGCGTATCACTGGGACTCAGCCCGTGTGGGTGACTCGAAGTTCCAAACCAACACCACTAAAGGAATGGAACACGATTAGTGAAGTTTGTGTTTACTTCTGAATGCATTTTCTATGTTACAATGATATATTGTCTGGAGTCTGTACCACCTCCCCAACAAAAAGAACATGAATAGTTACATTCTGATCAGGGAGGGGGAAATGAATGAATCCGGAGCTCAAAGTAGGTACAAGTAGACCGTGATGGACCAGCACCTCGTGGTAAAACAGGTGATCCCAATCGCAAGTGGTCGAAGTGAGTGCCAGTGCTACAAAATGAGATGGGTCTCCTAGAATCTTTCAGTAGCGTTCACACGATGCCATAGCATGCCATATCCAAACAGGAACATTACCTAATTACAAACATTCAAATAGTAAAAGAACACCAAGTCCAACTCAAAATACTAGTTACATCTAGTTACTAGTCACCAATGTGACGGCTTGCTTTCATCTGCTCAGAATTGGCTAACTTCGGCTCCTTCCTCTTCAGCTCCACAGCAGCTCTTCGGCTCCCCGCCCTTCGCTGAGCGCTGAGGCGCCCTGCGCTGAACTGCATCAGCGCCGCCACGTCAAAGCGGACGGCGACGTCCAGAATGGACAGCACCTGGAGACGGCGAACATCGCCCGTTCGACTCGCTCGGCGACCACCCTGGGCGACCAGCGGACCGGACGCGCTGAAGGAGGGCGACCGGACGGAAGGGGGCCAACCTGAGGAACTGCTGCACGGTCTAACTACAGGTTTATGAGGAATATAAGAGACAGGATTTAAGCGCTTCCCCCTGCTAAGGTTGGAGTAGTTTCGACGGATATCGATTGGTTCAGTGAGCGTCCTTGTTTTCATCCCCAGAGTCCAAACCGGGGGGGCAACGTCCGTGGCGTCCTTTTCACTTCCCTGAAATGCAGAGAGTTCTTGACTCGTGCTCTCACCTATTGCATGGGAGAACCAGGGAGAGCTTGCTAGGCCACCAAAGTGATGGTCATGTGATTTAAAGCTAGGAAGTCCCGTGTAGATCTATTGAGTGTATATAATATATATAATATAATATAATGAATATAATATAACATAATATAATATAATACACTATACTATACTACAATGTAATATTATATCTATATATATATTCTGAAAGTCATGCAGTCCCCTGTCCAATTTCCATCATGTTCAATCTGTCTCAACCTTGACCTTCAAGAACAATCAAGAACAAATCCCAACCCCAACCGCCTGGATTTTGAAGGCCTGGGAAGTATGGAGACAAATGAGACAAACACTTTGTTTTTTTGAGACAACCAGACTCCAACCTTCGGTCAAACCAAACCACCAAACGATACCAAGCATGTCACCAACGGCGGCTCAGCACCGTCTCCGGGCTGATGTCCACCACGCCGGTGTAGATCAACTTCCTACCACGCCACGCCGCAGTTGGAATCAAGTGAGGCGGAGTTGGAGTCGAGAAAAAAAACGAATCGAACGAGAATGTTCGACTTGTGCGCCACATGTTTGGACACTTTGCTCTGCACTCACCAAGCAAAGACCCCGTCCAGATGTAGCGATGGGTTGGTGAGCATCTTGTGAAGGAAGAGTAGGTGAGTTGGCGATTCAATGGTTGGCGCGCGTTTCGAATTGTATAAAAAGACCTAAATGGATACATGTTCACAGAAGCCAGCTTTCGACATATCACAAAACTCGGACACTGCCAAAGACTACGCAAATCACACCACCTCTTCCCCCAACATGAACTCGTCAAAGCAGGACATTCTTCTTACATATTTTCTATTAGTCCAAAAAACAACAAACAACAAAAGGAGACACATGCATACACATGCCATGTTCTCTGCCAATTCCCAAGCACCAGGCCGGCCAGCTGGGCGCCCCGGGCAGAAGAACCTCGAAGGCGGCGGGCTCCACATCCAAGAGCTTCACCTGACCGACGCTGAGACCCCCGACCGACGCGACCCGGCTTCGGGCCGAGCGCGCTTCGGTCGGGGGATGAAGAGCTGAAGGTCCCCCGACCTGAAGGCTTTGCCACGGGTCTCCTCTTTTTGGGCACACACCCACATTGGCAAAGACCTGAACACGCATGCAGGTCAGAATATGTTAGAATGTCAGACATGCCATTTGTGCCAGATCGGTCATGTTCCCCGATGTGTTGGTCACGTTGTGCCCCCTGATGGCATTGAAGTTCCCCCGACCATTTGTCAACAAACCAGCCAGCGTGCAAAAGCCACAAAAGCTATGTGCTCCGAAAGGAACACGCCTGATTCTACAGCTTTTCTACCAGTAGCGTAGAGTCCCTTTGAGCGGCGGTCAAAAGGTCATACAATGGGCCTATGCCGTAAGGATTTGCTTACGCATGCACTTCCGCAACGCTTACGCGCCTCAGGCTCTATCTTACGCGAGGGACAGGGACTTGTTTGAAGCTTACGCGCTGCAAACGAAGCTGCAGCTTCTGATAGTGCCAGGCAATGTGATGGGAAGGTATCAGAAATAGTTTGCTGGACTGGCTGTCTTTGTCGCCATTGCAGCTTAAAGAAAGGTGTTGCTTTCGGAGGCATGATGGGAAAGTATCTCACAAACACAAAGTAGGCTTACGCGGAGCTTACGCGGAGCATACGCGCGGCATACGTGCGGCTTACGCGGATTGCCCTGCATCTCTGTGAAAGTTGCATTTATGTTTGATAAACTTTGCCCTTTGGCCGGTGACCTTGCGAAACACAACCCTACCCAATACGTTGATACTATATAATGGTTTTGCTTATTGTCCCGCCATCCCCTGGCAAAGCACAAGCTAATCTTTTGACAACTTGTCAAAAATACATGTTGCCTTTGACTGTGCACATTCACCTGTCAACATTTGAATGTGCCTCTTTATCAATCTAATCTGTCCGACCAAAATGCTGCAGCTATTAGGAACCTGTGCCCTGCATCTTGGTAGGCCCACCGACAAAAGAGCAACAGATTGGCTCTTGAATAAATGCAACCGACTGCAACTCAGCATTCCAAACAGGTGTTCAACTTTTTCGACTTTGCTTACGCAATATGGATTCTGAAAAATCTGCTTACGCGAGCTTACGCGACTCAGTCGTCTGCTTACTCGAGAAAGCTTTATGACAAGGCGCTTTCATGTCACAACTAGGCGGGTTTTGACCCTTGCTCCTTTGACGTACGACTTCAAGATTCGACCGCCTGCCCCGATGGTTTTGGTTCTCTTGCTTTGTTCGATGCAGGTTGCGCATAGCTTCTCGCATGGCATCATTGAAATAATATACTGTAGCAACAAGTGAGCCTTAATCCTATAAGGACAAGTTCATACAAGTTCACTGGCGGTCAAACATCTGTGCCTGTCTTTGCCTACCTTGCTTTCACTCTTTGCTTTCTACAGCTCCAGCCGCCCTGTTTCAAGGATCAGGTGTTTCACTCCCGTTCCGCCTCCTTGGCGCTGCCTTCGGCGAAGGGGCCACAGAGCATCGATCCCAAGGGCTCGGACCACATGGCGATGATGCCTCAGGGCTCGGAACATGGGAAGACGATGGAGGTTTTTGACGGTGTGAAGCATGATGCGGAAGGACATGGCTTAGAAAGCAACAAAGTGCACAGTACGGAAGGACCCCTCACATAGATAGACCCCCCCACGCTCGGTGTCCCGGCTTCGATGGGCCACGAAGCGTTGCGGAGCCGTGTCCTGTCGGCTTCGGCTTCGGAGCCCGGGTGGTTGGAGCAGTGGAGATGGCACCCCTATCCCTGTTTAGTATTCCACGAAACCATACTAAACCACTAAACAGTAAACCATACTTCAGTGAAGTGGTTGAGTTCATATGTTGGGGTTCTTTCGATTCTCTTCCCTGACTGTTTATGCGGTGTAGTGTCAACTTCCATGCCTTTGCTTAGATGACTGTCGAGTGATGCCAAACATGCGTAAATAAGGAACAAGCAATATCAGCATTCCATGGGAGGATTTTGCATACAATTTTGAAGACTCGTGGACACACGAGCAACAACAACAACAACAAAATTGCATGCATGCTTTCCGTTGTTCTGGCTCCCTTGGCAAGGACTTGCAGGTCACTTCACCTGAACAAAAAACATAATACATGATGGATCATGATGGTCTGGTGATGTCTGGTGATGGTCTTGCTGGTTCGCACCCATCAATTCCTTGGATCGAAGACCAAAAACAGCTTGGGGTGGCGTTCAGCCTCGCACCTTCTCCGACCCGGTGGCGCTCATCGCGGCCGCGATCCCGCCTGGTTGCTTTGCACCAGGAAGGTGACGTCCGAGTGACGCTCATCGCCGTAGAGCCGCGCCAAGCGCTGCACCACCTCATCCGGGCCTGAGACTGAGAAGATGGAGGCTGCAAAGGTGTCTTTTCTTCCCCGTTCAAACCGGTTTAGGGGCCGATACTTGGGGGAGGACAGGGTCCAGGGTTCTCTGGTTTCACCAGAAATCCAATCCTTGTCAACCCCTGCGGCATGCTCATCTCTGCTTTCGGAGCATGCTTTCGGCGGAATGGGCAGTCATCTCGAGTCCTTGAAAACACGATCACTTGCAAAAAAAGATGAGTGGGCCAATGCCTGGAGACTGAGATGTCAAAGATTGTCAAGTTGGTTTGCATATGTTTGCAGAGGAACCTTCCAGGGTCTATTTACTGGTGCAGGGGAGCACGTTGATACGGGACCTCTACCTGAAATACTAGTTACATCTACTTACTAGTGATTCATCAAAAAGCAACCGTGTTTGTTAGTTGCACTCTTTCAGGATCAAAAAACTACCGCCCCGTGTCAGCCATTGTAGACTGTGTCTGGGTTCTGGACATTGAAAGGTGAACGAGCTTAGCTCATTAGCCTCAGTGCGGCACATGAAGAAGACCCTTGGATCCCTCGAGGCACACAAACCTTCACTGCGCGTGAGTGGTCAAAGTACATACATTGGTCAGTACCACAAGTCTACCCCCGGCCCCGGCCACTCCCCCGGGCGCGAAACGGCGCCACTGGACCTCAGTCAGGACTGGTGGGGTTGGTGGGAGGTGATATCCATTTCAAAATTTTCAAAGGGCTTGGGGGTGGTTAAGGGTGGTTGATGGTGCTTTTTGTTGAACTTGCCGAAGGAGAGGTATATAGGCCAGAAGCTGTCAATCAGTGATAGCGATTGCAATCCTCGAGGTTTTCGGAGGGTATGAAGTCCAAACCATCAATACCCGTCGGTTTCAACTCACAGCTGTACTCCATCATTGGGTTTTCACATACCGGATGACCCACATCTGTGCTGGGCCCCCTGTCTGAGGTGGTTGCATTCCCTGCTTCCGCCGCGGGTGGGGTCAGCTTTTGCTTCGGACCCTCTCACTAAGACCTTCAAGAACTGAGCCACACCGACGACCTTGGCGCCATTGGCTTTGCCCAAAACATCCCCCCTGCCTCACCGCCCGAGTTTCCAACGACATCTCACATCTCACTGCTCCATCATGTTGCAGGAGAAAAATCAAACCGCTCAAGGGAAAAGCCCGTCTTCAGGGAATATAGGGAGCTCTCATGGTGCTCTAGGTGCGATATAGGGAATGAGGTCTTTGTTACCACTAGGTGCTGCCACTTTAGGTCGACCTGAAAAAACCTGGAGCGCCGAACAGTGGCCAAACATTGATCAGGCCCTGCATCCTTACTTCATTAAGTAGGCACCTATTTAAACAAAGGGAGTATATAAGCTCCTAGCAGTAGGAACATAATTTATAGCTACTTTAAGCTACAAGATACTGGACGCAGGATAGCTCATGCACTAATGATTTGGTTCCTAGATTTTTCCCATTCTTGATCATTCTTGAATGTGTCTGATCTCGGTGGGCTTTTACGTCGTCCAGTCTAATTTCTCGGATTCGATTCCGCAGCCTGCTTCAAGTAGATGGTGCAGTGTCTGCTTCTGTGGTCAAGTTTTGCAGGGCCTACTGAGCTTGTCTGCATGTCATGCGCAGCTTGTCTCCAGAAATACTCTACAATCCAAAGCAAATAATTACCTTGCCACGTGTTGCCCCGCCTTGCCCTATGGAGCAAGCACATAGAGCAAGCTGTCTTTGGGCTTTAAAGACTCTATTCATCTCTATGACTCTATTCCTGTCCTTTTACTTCTGCCGCAAAAGAACTAGGCCATTGTTGCTCATCATTGCTGTCATTGCTTGTCGCGGAAACCCTTGAGGCGTGCGAGGTTGAATGCGATGCGGTATCTGCCATGCAATTTCTGGACCAGTTCGGGTGTCACGCTGCTCACAAGGCTTCCTTGACGCCCAAGACCAACTAAGAAGTCTCAACCATGTGGCGCTGCTCAAGAACGCCAATTGAAATTAAGACAGAAGCCGTTCTGTGCATCTGGAAAAACAAAGGTATTGTCCGACACTCAACAAATGGCCGCTACACTATGGCCAAGTCTGATGGCATGCTAAGCATGTGCTTGCAACCACGGGTCTTGCAACCTCTTTTGCTCAGCCTACCTGTGCTTTCTCAGCACATGGTTCACAACTAGGCAAAGGATGGCAGAGGTGTTTTTGAACCGATCCAAAAAACAACCACAGCATCCCTCCTGCCCTGGCCAGACCTGAGTCGGCACATCCAAAAAACGACTCTTCTACTGTACAACAGAATCCTTGTCCAAACGAGTGCACAATTCCCAAGCTTGGTGGTTTATATGGAACCCCATCTAGTCATCGTCGGGGTGGTCCTTCTGCCGGGTTTCCACTGAGGTGTCAACGTGAACACCCATCTCTTTCACCTCTGCACCGGCCGCGGATCCGGTCGTTCTGCACCTCTGGACTGAGGTCGTAAAGATCCTCACCCATGACCTTGGTGCAGACATCCATCCGGATGGTCGGGGAGGGGTCAACAAACATCTGGAGGTGGGCAAGCTAGGTGGGGAGGTGTGCAAGAAAGCATAAGAAAGCACTCAAATAACAGACCGATGATGTCATGCCCTGACCGATCATGAGGGCAACATCGGACCGATGCACGGACTCAGAGAGCTTTGTAGAGGTGAAAAGGTCAAAAGGGTGTTGTCAGAGTCCTCGTGTTTTCCATTCAAAAGCGTATGGATCCCCAATTCTCGGCTTGGAAATGCATTTGAAATGGATCTACTGGTTTCACTCCTTTTGAAAAGGACCCGATTCCTTTTCTTGGGGGGTCGGAACCGTCAGTATTCCGAAAGCGGGCACTGGGCAGCTACCATTCTGGAAGTGTTTTGGAGGGTTAAGGTATAGTTAGCACCTTACTTCACCAAGAGCTGCAAGAGCTGGGTACCTATACATTTATATAAATACGATGTTCAATCGGGCGAGCCCATTTTGTCTTGGATACTGTATGCCAGAAGGTCACTCACGCCACAAGTTCTTAGCTCGTGTTCGTTTCTCAGGATTCATTGAGGTCGAGCAAAGCGGCCATCCTAGCCGCTACAGTAGTAGGACTTAATTTATTAACTATGCAGCTATGCATTTATGCATGCATGACCTCCCATATCAGAATGTCCTGTCCTGGCTCACATGGTCCTTTCCTTGCGAATGAGAAAAGCAAACCACAAAACCACATTGTGATCTTCCCCCGTTGGACCACCACTCCACCACCGTCCAAGTTCCGGACTCCTTCTTTGGTAGTGTTCATGTACCAAAATCACGGAAAACCATCTACTTCATGTTCGGTAGTAATATAGCTTTGTAGCGAATCAAATGGTGGCCACACTTGATGGGCCCGGATCATCCTTCCAGCTCCGGAAAGAGAACGTATCGACAGTTATCGCTGTGCTTCGCCACTTTGGGGGTCGCGAAGTCTTCCAACAAGCCATGACGATCACCTGGTCAACACGGTGCCGGTGGCAAAAGGTCCGCAAGCATCAAGGGAGATGGGCTTGGATGCAAAACTGCCAGGGCCATGGCTGCTGATACCCTGAATGTGTGTTTCAGATGTTTGTCTATCCATTTCAACATTGTAACATGGGCATGAATATTGAATAATAAATGTTAGATAAGTTCATTATATTGCAATAATGTGCAGTATAGTGCAGATATTTGAAACAGTACAAAATGAACATCGAAAATGGTGTACAATGGCGTATAATGGTGTATAACAAGGTCAGGCGGTAAAGCGGTCTGACATGAAATCCCAGGTCTGCCCCATGTTTCATCTGGATACCACTTCTAGCTCAGCCGGCCAGAACCAGGTATGATCGACTCTCAGGACCTGTGGGCTTCATTGCCCCATGTTTTCACGCGCTTGAAGGGCGAGCATTCTGACCCTGATGCTTCCCTCAGGCGGGGTTCCGGAAGGGAGACCACCTTGAAGCCTCAAAGTCCACTATCGCGCGCATTGCTGCCAATCAAAGTTCGCTAGCCATCCCTGGCCCGCTGATTTTCTTGCCCCTGGGTGTCGGCCGTTTTTCGCCGATCAAAGCGTCTTCCACAGGAGAGAACCAGGACGGAACCAGGGGAAGTGCTTGGAGCTCGTGCACTGCACCACTGCTGCACCACTGGTTCAGCCCTGCTCTCCCTATCGGGCTCCAACTACCTCCTGAGAAGATGGTTGGGGTGGTTTTGGGGGGTTAACCACCTTCTAAGGGTATGGTTGGAGCCCTAGGGTCTATACATTGCACTTACTTTTGGCCGTGTGCCATGGATTTGGGGAGCATCCTGAATTCACCCGACGATCAGGGGCCTTTTTGGTGCACCAGTTGTTCGCTGCGCCGAACTGTTCGCGTGGAGCTCGGTGCGTGACCCGACGTCGGTCCAGCCGACAGGTTTCCAGACTTGACAGCTGAAGGAATACCCACCCCAACTCTGCAGTCGCCCAAGGCATGGATGTCGTCCTTCAGCAAAGCCTGCCTGACATGGACCTGTTCGCAAAGAATCCACTTGTCGGCAGAGGCTCCCTTGGAATACTTGATCCAGGTTCGTTGCGCCGGCTGCCGCCTTTAATCCGGCGGGATAAATTCAGCTTTGGGGTCAAAGACCTGCTGCTGTCCATGCGTGCTACGCGCTTTTATGCTTTATGCTCATTGACAGACAGACAGACAGACAGGACAGGACAGGACAGGACAGGCAGGCAGGACAGACAGGACAGACAGGACAGACGAAATAAACAAAGAAAGACATACATAAAAAAATAAAGAAAGAAGCATGCTATGCCTGCTATGCAAGGTCTACCGGAGTTTGAATTCTTCACGAACTACAAGTCACCACCGCGTGCACTTTGGCAGCAGAATAATATTACATATACTACAGTAATATAATACAAACATAACATTATAGAATCATGCTAGTGCCGTCGGTTTCCGGAGCTGTGCCGGCGTTTTCTTGTTCCTCGACTTAGGACATGAGCGGAAAGTGTGTGATGAAAAAGCAGGAACAAAAACTCCAGTGCCGCTCTTCCTTACTATTAACATCAATGCCTTTGGTCGTCAGGGCGACAGCTTTGAATGTCCAAAATGCAAACCAAAACTTCGAACTCCCAAAGTTCTGCCTGTGAAGTTTCTCTCCCAAACATAGAAGGGCCAGTCCACCTGTAGCACGGAGCCAGCAAATGGCTTGGATATGCCCGGATCACTGCCCGGATCATCTGTACTGGGAAACTCCAATTTACAAATGTCTCTGGGCCTCGTTCTTGGATGTGTCAAATGATAACTCTGTAGAAGTACTCCCGAACCACCAGAACATCTTAAACGACTTGAAAATGGCTACCGAGGGACTGGCGTATTGGTTGTCTTGCATTGATATGTCTACAGTCTCCACGGGGGAGCACCGGTCAACACCACCCGGCGCCACGAAATTCGTCTCGGCCGTCGAAAGAGCGTTGACCAGAGCAACTCCCAGAGAATGCAATGGAAGCATTGGCCAACCCCAGAAATGCTTCCAGTGCGACAATGCCTTGACCACCCCTTCTTCCCCAGAAAGGGGCTTGCCTACATGTTGACCACTTCGTCTGGCGGGTGCCTGGTTGTCGCGGGCGTAGACCGCATACTCTTCCAGTGACAGCTCCTCGGATCGGCATTTGCCCGGATTCGCGGGTGAAACTCGGTGTTCATGTCTTAAAAGGCTCAAGCACAAACTTCTGGAACCGTACATGCCCTGGCTCAGGCATTAAACATTACATATAAATGCAACATATTGATATTATATATATGTGCCTTACAGGGCCTTACTATATATGCCTTATAGAATCACTAGAAATTGCATACATAATGCATGAACAGTGCGCCCGCGTGACTGTGAATCGGCTTGAATTGTCTTCACAACTGGCGCGCCCCTCAAGGCCCAACGCAAAGCAAACTTTGCATCATTGTTGATAACGGGGTGTGACGACTGCAATATTTATGGGATGATTTCAGAAGTGTAAGTATATTGGTCCATCTATACAATGGAGATCAGTTCTTCCATGGCAAATTTCAGGGACAGATCCTGACCGGTTGGAGAAGCAAGTGCTGTCCAGCAGGCACTTTTATTCCCCGAAAAGCGCTTTGGGCGCTTTGATGTGAAGATTTGGCCCGCTGTGCCCAACGTCCGCATGTAGATCATCCTATGCCCCGCCAACGCCAACGCGTAAACCGTGGATCCGTCGTGGCTTCATGTGGCTTCGCGTTCCACACCGCCCCCCAGCCCTGCACCCAGTTCCGCCGAAGGCTCCACACGCATCGGCTTGCCCAAACCGTGCAGGGCGGCCATTTCCTTCAACAATCGGTTTCGTGGTCTCGAGTCTCGAGGTCAAAGAATTCAGAATGCACCCAGATTTTTCACCACATGGAACTCACCCGATGTGTTTTCATCCGTGACAAGGTAGAAACCGCATGAAACCGCCATGAAAAACTCTCCCTGCGGCTGGTTTCGATGATGCTTTTGATGTTTAACCACTTCACCCATTTTGCGTCTGATAAGATCACTACATCAACACCAACCGCGACGGCCCCCCCTTTGGCGCTTGCCACAAAAACACACCCCGAGCGGGTCCGACTCGGTTGGCGGCTCGGGATTGACGGCTCGGGACGGACGGTGGAAACACTAAGACCTCCCGCATCCTTCCGCCATTTGGGGATTGTAACACTTAACATGTGGAGGGTGTTTGAATGATTTGATGAACTCGGTCTTCGTCCATATCCTCCTGAAATACGAAACGCTGTGGTCTTTTCCTCACAAAAGAAAAGGCAATAGCCAGGAAAGGGTCTGAGTGACATGTGTGCTTTTTTGCTTTTTTGGATGTCATCCGCCGAGCTTCAGCGAAACGCAAACTGTCTGAGACTGACAGGCGAATCTTTGACCCAGAGTATCTGTGCAAAATACAGCAAACATATAAAGCATTGGAAAGATGAACATTCTGGACTTGCCACAACGTCGTCACAGCTTGTCAGTGGACACTGCCAAAAGGCGTGAAATATCTTGTCACCAATGGAATCGTTTTGGACCTCAACCCAAATCAGAATCATGACAGATTGTTTTTTTTATTATTCTTTTGTTCGGAACACCAAGTGCCAGCGAAACCTACAGCGACCCACCCAAAAACCCTTGGCAGGCAATGAGCAAAAATTGGAAAACCTGAACACAAACTTGGACCTGACCGAGAAGCTTTTCCTCGATCATTTTTCCCCAGATCTTTCGATCATTTGGCCCAGACTCCGTCACTTGCACATGCAAATGGCCATAATGTTGGAGGAAGCTGGCCTCACATCGTGTGACACGTGCCCAAACACTCCATGTATATATATATATATATTGGGGTGGTTTCAGGAGTCGATGTAGGCACACATCAAACATGGAGTGTCTGGCGTAACCAGGTAGGGGTGGGGTAGGGGTGCGTTCTGAGGGTTCCGAGGCCATGTCCCACCTGCCAGTACCTGCCAGTACCTGCAAGCCCGAGGAGTGCATGGGGTCCACTTGGTCCACGGACTGTGTTCAAGACTGTGATGTGACTTGGAAAAGAGTCACCTGGGCCCCACACAGAGGGTGCAAATGGGAATTACATATCGTTTCAGATTCTTGGAACTGTTTGGACCTGTTTGGAACTCCTGCGCTCTCTTTCACATCACCTTAGACCATCCGCAGCTCTGCATCTTCTCAACTTGGACGAAGACAATGCCTTTAAAGCGATCCTCAACACCGGCACCATGCTTTTTAGTATTGCTTCGAGATGGTCGAAACACGCAGGGGAATCATGCCCCTCTAGAAGACCAAATATAATAGAAAACAACATAATACAACATAAATCAACATAATATATATATATGATGACGTGATTGTGTTCTATTTTTGCATATTGTAAGATAACATGTATAATATATCATAATATATACTATAATCGGTACGGGTTCCCCATTGAATCTATCTACGTACTGACATTCTGACCAAACCGGTGTAACTGGAACACTTTGCCCAACGCACGCGGCACCGCTCGGTGCGTTCCCTTGGCACCTGGTTTTGCCATTTTCCCAAGGCGGGCCAGTGGTCTTGCTCGGGAACGCCATGCCTAGTGAGCCGAAGAACGGGGCACGGTGGAGCGACAGCATGTTGAAAAAATCAAAGGTCCTCAGCAAAACCGTTCAAAGGGAAAAACACATCCTCTTAGAGCAACCTTAATTGAAAGATATATAGTTTGACACCAAGCCGGCAGGCAACCCAAATACTTCCTGAGACATGTTCTTGAAGTATTTCAGAAGCATCTCACATCGCTAGTCGCACACCAGCGGAGCAGGAGGCTCCAGAACTTGTAGCTCCCCAACTCATTCAACTCACTTTATCCTGGAATATCTTAGGTTGTATGGAGGTTTATAGCTTTACCAGGATTTGGTTGTGTAGATCTTTACAGCATTTCCAGTTTTTACTTGCTATATATATATATACATACATATATCATAGATTATATATATATATCCCGTCCCAAATACATGATACATGCTCCCGGAGTCCAACCACCAGCACCAAATCTAGTCCATCCGAAAAAAACATTAAAAAAAAACTGTCTGACCACTTCGGAAGGAAGAAAGGAGCGTTTTGCGGACTCCAGTCCAACCCAGCGTGGACTCACCGGTGAGTCCACGCGCTTGGTTGGTTGACTCACACGGCGTGCGTCGGACCTGGAGCGGCCAAAATCACCGTCGACACACCGTCCATCCGAAAGAACGCCAAAGGGTAGATGTCCTCCTCGGAGTGTACCAGGGGGGCTTCCATGAGGAGTAGATTTGAATTACAATTATAACCATTGTAAAATATACAATATTTATCCATAACTACACATATTGCTACTAAATATATATATATATACATACATTTAATAAGTTAATAGTCATCAATACGAGGGCACGACTCGACCTAAGATTTTTGTTGAACCTTCGTCTCACCAGCACCAGACCCTCCTCCTTCCCGGTACCACAGGTACCACAGACAGCGCTGAGCGTCCCGGACAGCACGGCCGGGCGCCCGGGGCCCGTGGCACAGCGATGCAGGAACTCCTGTGGACCATGGGTGAGGGCACACGCCCACGAAGGGCCTGTGAAGGGCCTGTGAAGGGTGACAAGAATCATTCATGAATTCATGTTTCATGAAAAGATATGAAATGAGAGTAAAAAATAGTTTCACTGCAAGTGAATCTCCAACTGGAAGAAATGATGCAACTTTAACACATACTCAACCATCACACGGGTCCTTCAACATCCTTCAACTGTATTTAAGGTGCTTGGATGTGCTTGGTATGTATCATGTGTCTAAAGAAACTACGCTGGGCACATACCGTCCCCCAAGCCCAAGTGAGGAGTTTCAAGTCCAGTAGTTGACAGTCCATTTTAGGCAGTGTGTCTTGGGTGATCATGTTGGACGAATTGATTGAGACATCGACTGCACCGAGTTGCCCCGGTCAAGGTCATCGACATACCAATTAATTGGATCCAATTGCAGTATATAGATACGAGTAGCTAGCAAGAATGATACCCTACAAAAGGCACCGCAAGCATCCCTAATCTATGATGTCAGAGTAAGTCTATCGAACGAACACTCCCAAGAAGTACCGTAAAGTCTGAACGGAATTCGGCCCGAAGTCTGAACGAATCCCGACCAGCCCATGCCCTGGGACCGACACGACATGGACCTCCGAGGAAAAGCTTCTCGCTCGACCTGGGAGGCTTCGACCGACGCCACGGAGGCCCGGTGGATCCACCGTGAAACCGCCCGGAGCGAAGCGGTGTGGACGTGTGGAGCTCGAGAGGTCTCCGGAGCATCCAAATACGGGGAAACACTCTGGAGCAGACCAAACAGCTGGTCAAGCTTCATCTAGAGCTTCATCTAGAGCTCCTTGTCCCCGAAAGTCATCAACTTTGCAAGCCATGAATCATGGAGTAGTTGGTCAAAGTCAAAGCATGGATGTCCAAATCCCCAGGTTATGCTCACTAAGCCTTCAACACATTCAATCTCTTGGCCAATGCTCTCATGCTCTGCCCTCGAGCAAAGCTGAAGAGAGGCGAACCATCGGATGGTTCGCCTGTCACTGTTCCGCAAGTTTGTAAGACTCGGTCACGCACAAATCATCACAGTCATCACATTTCAGTCTCAGTCATCAAGATGGTACTGTGAATCTGCATGTGCCGCTAGGTCTTGACTCGGCTCAGGACACGTTTATGTGGCTTCAGCATCACCGTAGCCGGCTATGCCACGCACAAATCTTTCTTCATGTCATCATTTGAAGCCGCGAGTGACTAGCGCCAAAACGAAGAAGCACAGACTTTCACTGCCAAGGACACAAACAGCCGACGAATCTCAAGCTTCAAACCACATGTAATTCATAGTTCATCATAGTTCTGCGAGTCAACAAAACCCCCGGACACAATGGTTCACCCCAGTTGATCCCGGGTGATTTCGGGTCAGCCTTGAATAATTTTTTCGAGAGGGAATGTCAGCCTTCCATGGTTTGTAGGGTACTGTGTTTGCGGACTCCATCCAATCCTCTCTGCATTTTCCGCCCCTTACCGCCCCTTGTTCAAGGACTGGGTACCGACGGGGGTTTTGTACACCAGAATGGAACCGATACTACCTGACAATTGAAACACACATCAGAGAAGGCCTTCAATACAGCACACTCAATGATCGCACGGCAAAAAACAAGCGACAAATGCACTACTTACCATGCACCGCACTCTGGTGATATGCATCGCATGGTCGCATGGATGGCGAAATAAAATTTTAAACGAAAAAAATATCCATGGTTTGTAGGGTGAGGTCTCGACCTCTTGACCTACATCCAAATCTGTCAATTTCCTCTTCTGTCTGCCAACAAGAGGCAAAACATTGCTATGTAGAAACAATGTTGCCTGCAACATATCAAACAAACACACACACAAATCTTAATTATGTGTCGTTTTTCAACATCAAACGACCCGGGTTTACCCTGGGCGCCAAGTTCTCCTTTCTCAGCCTTTGAATCAATGTGCAGTTTGACGGGGCCGAGACCAGCTTCTGGAATAAAATCATCAGAGCAAGTCCTGTTACCGCAATCCAATTCGGCGTGTGCAGTTATTCTGATGCAAATACCCGCAGTGGTTCTAAGCAATGAGTGGGAAATGTAAGTGTGAATACTGTCACGGTCAGCTTTGGACAAACGAGGTATCAGTGCGACCACCGCAACCATTGAATAGACTGTCCATTTTGCAACTAATGTGTCGAATTTTTATCTTCTATTAATCACATGTCACATCTCATCTCGCTAAGACCCTGCGGGACAACTTCAGCGCGCATAACGTGCGCAAAGCTTGGGCTTGTGCTCACTTGAAATCGAACGAACTTTCTCCGCCTAACAGAGAAGCTAGCGAAGAGAACAGGAAACTACCATGCCACCCAATAGCCCTGTGAGCTAGTGGAGCGCGTGAACTTCAAATTCGTTGGCCGGTGAGGCCATCTTTGACGTAAGGTGAAGCTGCAAGAAACGAGTCTTTCTGTTGGGTCCGCCAGCCTCCGGGCTGTGCTTTTGTTCGCCCGGACGGAATCCAGTACCCCGAAATTCGCCGACCTAGGACCATGAACGTGAGCGGAGCTGGAGCGGCATGTTCCTGAGAGGGACTCTCCGGTGAGCGGTGGACGATGCCGGTTCTCCGTCACATTGCCATGAACTAGATTCGTCGCTGACCGTCAAGAGTTTTTCGTGGGAAAACGGCTGTTCAGGATTTTGCCTGGGGTTCTACCCCCTTCACCCCTTCGGATTCGGGCATGAGGCCACGCACATGCTGTGGTGCGCTCTCAGGCGCGCGCCCAAGAACCGAAAACCCCATGGGCCTCCGCGGGCGCGCCTCAAAGACTAGGAGACATGGTTAACGGAGGCGCGCGCGGGGTCCGTGCTGGATGTTTCCGGAAGCATCGAAGCTTGATCGACGCATCATATGTTTGTTGAAACGGAGTAGTCCGGCTTCAAGAGTGACTGGGGACGGTCCGGAGTCCAACACAGCACTTTGGGCAGGGCAACTTGATGCCTCTGGCATCCTCTGGCTCCCGTTTTGTTGAGATACGTCGCTTTGAGGGGGGTCCTTTGAAAAAACACAAACTCCTCAAGCTGCTGGCTTCACGCCTGTCTTTGAGTTTGCGCTTTGAATCCGTTGCCACGGGTGGATGTAAAATCTATACTCTCTGAAGGCAGGGAGGTATGTAAGTGGCACTGATAAATTAGGGTTTGCACTGCACAGTGATCGTTTTCAAACCAAGCTTGTTTGCATGTGCATGTGCATCTTAATGACGCTTACAAACCACATGTTCCTTGAGTCCACGTTCATGACACTTTGTGGATGCGAGCATCAACTCCACGTGCACCGCGCGTGAACAAACCATGACCACCATCAGGCCCCAGCTCACCGAACCCTCTCGGGGGTCGGCGGCCCAGCCTCCTAAATAGCCCAAATCGACCGCCTCAATTGTCACCGCACTCCCAAAAGGCTTTGACGGAAAAACCAAGGTTGCATTCCACTACCATCTTCACCCTGGATGCACGTCTGATACCCCTCCGATTGGAAAGCAAACCAACGAAACTCCTGATGGACAGCCTTGGCAAAAATAGACATCTCATCTTCATCTCACTTCCGCCAGTTTGTGGCGTTCAAGGCCTCGCCAGCCCTAGAAAGGGCTCTAAAAAACTGCGGCCGCGCCGATCCGTGGGCAGGAAATTGCCCAGCAGATGTTGGAAGTCAATGAAGAAGCAGGAAATTGCTCGACAAAAAGTTCTTTGTTGGAGAACTGGAATCCAAAAAAAAGAACCAAAATGCTGCTGACTTGCGAACCCCTTGCCCTTCAGTTGACAAAGGTCAACCACTCTCAAGGCCTGTTGAATGATGGAGGTGGGCAAATCCTCACTGTAACTCCTGCGAACCCCAAGCAAGAACGGCCTGTTCTCCCTTCTACTTTGGAGGGGTGCTTTGGCTGTGCTGTCACTAAGCTAAGTGGGGTACGTACACGCAAACTCTTTAACATGGCAGTGGAAAAGCGCCTCTGGGAAGACTCCTCTCCTCTACGAAGGGCGCCATGATGTCCCAAAAACCTTGTCTGCGCAATGCAAATAACAAGTCCGTCGATGTTAACATGGATGCTTTAGGGATCTCGAAGCGGATCAGCTTTTCCTCGGTTCTTTCCGGGCTGCTCCAACAACATTCGTTTTTCGGTACGCAGTAAACACGGGTGTTGAGGTAAACCCTGTCAACGGCTTCTCCGGTGAAGATGTCTCATCTCAGAAAAGCCCTTCTGTGAAAATCCCCAAACAGTGAAGATCATCAACACTCCATGTATAAAGCAAATCTATGACCTACCTTTGAGTGGTTTTAGGGTGAATGTAGATCATATTCATCGAGGAGTAGTGTTTGGGAATAGTGAGCACTCACCATGAATCTCGTGCTGGAGTTGTTCTGTTGACAGTCAGTAGTTGCAACTGTCGCAGCCATGCTTGTACGAGTAATTAATTCTAGTAAGTATGTCCTGCTGCAGCCGTGAAGCATCAACTTTCAAGTACAATAACCAGGAGCAAAATCGCTACATCTAATTACAATATATATATATATATATTATATATCTACAAACGATGCCCGATAGGCAAACAAAACAAGTGGCCTAAACAAGTGGGCGAACTTCTTCCCCCAGCTCATCAGATCGAAGTGAACATGATGTTTGTCTTCGAAACTCCATCTGCTGGGCTTGGCCCCCGAAGGCTTGTACTTAAAAAAAGGAACCAAACGCGTCCGTCTGGTCACGGAGCTGTGTGCTTGTGCAGCTGAAGACGTTCCGGCGTGGCGGGGTCTGGACGCCCATGCCGGTGCTGAAACAGGGGTGTTTTGCGGCGGCGGAAGCGGCCGCGATTCACTTCTGGGCTAACGGACACCAGGTGAAACCGAAACAGGTGCGTTCAAAGCCTTGACTCCTCCCACCAAATCATGGGAACAGGTAGAAACCCCGTTGGCTTCGGACCGATGGACCAGGGACCAAGTGTTTCAGCTCACCAAACCCAACCGTTGCGCCCGTGGTCCATACGGTAACCAACCGCCTCTCGACGTCTCGACGCCGCGGGTCAAACCGGTTCAAGCGCTCAAACCTCGGGGGCGAAAGCGGGCGGTCCGAAAGGGGCGGTCCGAGATCTGGTTTTTTCACTGGCAACTGCTGAAGATGGGTGAAGATGGGTAGAAAGGACAGGATCTGAAAGTTGGATGACAGTGCAGCTTTGAAGAATGGTCCTTTGAACAAATGGGCATCCCTATTCTGATTTCTCCTAATTGCTTATTTGTATGCTATGTTCGCTTGAAATAATACCAATCCCATCCAATCCCCAGTTCACACAAGTACTTGGTCAATTGATGTCAATTGTACGATTCTGACAATGCTGCAGCTATGCTGTGGAAATACTTAACATCAGTGCCACTGGCCAGGTTGCTCTCCCAAAACTTATGTTACAGTCAATAATGTTGCATTGAGAATCAATGTGGGCATATGTGGATTATATGTGGGCCATGTATTTTCATGAATAGGGACACCCTCAATCCATGGATAGACAGGTCTTTGGGACCCTGTTCACCTCGCTGCAGCTGCGGCACCCGAAGGGGATCCGGCTGCTTGGCCGTCGCCAGGCCAATTTGACGGTTCTTCCAGTCAAACTGCAC